TTTCTTTCTTTCTTTCTTTCTTTCTTTCTTTCTTTCTTTCTTTCTTTTTAAGAACCTTTTAAGGTAATTGCAGACATGGGGCTTTTCTATCCCTAAACATTAAAAAAATTTTTTTTAGTGTTTATTTATTTTTGAGAGAGAGAGAGAGACACAGAGCGTGAACAGGAGAGGAGCAGAGAGATAGGGAGACACAAAATCAGAAGCAGGCTCCAGGCTCTGAACTGTCAGCACAGAGCCTGACGCGGGGCTTGAACTTACAAACTGCAAGATCATGACCTGAGCTGAAGTTGGATGCTTAGCTGACTGAGCCACCCAGAAGCCCCTCTACTCCTAAATATTTTAGTGTGAATTTCCTTAAAAAAAAAAAAAAAAAGGACAGTCACTTATACAATCATAGTACAGTTATCAAATGCAGGAAATTAACATTAACACAATGCTTTATCTGATCTTTTGACCTAACTCATATTTGCTCAATGGTTCCATTAGAAAACAAACAAACAAACAAACAAACAAACAAAACACATGGTCCAGGAGTGAATCCAGAATTGCATATCATATTTGATGTCATGTCTCTTTAATTTCCCTTAATCTGAAATGTAGTCTTTCTTTGTCTTGTACTGCCTTGATATTTTCAAAAAGTACAGGCAAGATGTTTTGTAGAATGTTCCTCAGTTTTGGGTTTGTCTGGTATTCCCTCATGACTGGATTCAGGTTGTACATTTTTGGCAGGCATGCCCAAGAGAGTGATGTTCTAGTCCTTCCATTGCTTCATAGGTTATTTACTTTAACAGGCCTGAGTCCTAGTGTTGAAAGGATTGTTTTCTTTGGTGTTTATTCTTGCTTTTACATTTACTGTAAAGTTAAAAAGACGTTAACATTAAGAGTTATTGCAGGTTGTTTGTTTTTAAGCTAAAAGATGTAATAAAATGATCACTTCTTATATTCCAGGCAGTCAAGTTCAAATTTATCATACACTCCTCTTTGCCTACTATTCTTAATGAGCTCACTCTTCCCAGACAGGTGCAAGAAACTAGTGAATGTTTGTACCTGGTGAGACAGATAGATGACCTTGTCTTGTCCTAAAACTTTAAAGGGAAAACAATTTTTGTTGTGCACTTAAATTTTCTTCTCATATTGAAAGGGCAGTGCAAGCGAACTTTGAAATACGCCCTTCACAATTAAATTTCTGCAGCCCCCAGACTTCATAGAGTGCTTGCCAACATCTGAGCTATTTAAAACCACTTATGATGCACTTTTCCTTAACCTGTACTTTGATAGCACTATGGGGAGCCTACGTTTTTAAGGAATCATTTCCTTTTTATACATAAACAAGCTTTGGCAATCTGTCCTTTGGTTAATTTGCTGTGTTTGCATTTTCTTCCCTTATCTAGCCAATCAAAAACCCCCCAACAGGGAAGAAATATGTTAGATGCCCTTGTAATTGTCTCCTCATTTGTAAGGACACATCTCGGCGAATAGGATGTCCGAGACCTAACTGGTAAGAGATAAACATTCATTCATTCATTCATTCGTTCATTCACCTAGTATTTATTAAAGGCTTATTATGTGCCAGGCTTTGTTCTAGAGTCTTTGTCCTCAAAGTAATTACAGGAGTTAGATTATTATTTTCCCTTTGTTAAAGGAATGATATGATTAGTTTGAAATTAATGGTCACAAGTATTTATAAGATATAATATTCTTGAATGAGCAATGAAAGATTTCTTGATATTATGTCAGTACTTAATGCAGTGTAATAAATTAGTGACTCATGAAACTTATTTAAAAGTAACCACTTATCCTCATTGTTATGTATATAGTGAAGTTATTAGGAACACTTGTAATAAGGATATTTATGAGATCTCTAGTTGCAACCTGTATTCACACTGGTATTATATGAGTGAATGGAATAAACCCATTCTGTAACACATGTAGTCAAATGTTTAAATAGTTGTAATAAAGGTGTTTCTAAAAATACTATTTGTAAGCCATTTCAGACCCCTGTTTCATCAGTGAAGGGAGGTGGCACCCAACTGTTATGTATATATGAGTGATTAAGATCAACTCAAATAAAGATGTTCCAAAGGGAAAAAAATAAGTAAAAGTAACCGCCTAGTTTACCTTTGATGAAATTCATCTTAATCTGGAAGTGGTTTAGTCATCATTATGTACCTTACCATGTGCTATACTGGTCTTTGCTGAACATACTCTATGCAGTAAATTCTGGAGCTATTTGCCCATATCAAATGCCATTATAGATGTGCCCAGATCGGAGTCTATCAAGACTTTACCTGTGTTTTTTCTGTGATTTCTGGCTCTTTGACCTTTCTATGAATCATTTGCAACCCCATCTGATGGCAGGTGAGGGAAGAGAAAGAAGCCTTCTCATCTTCCTTTTTGTCCAACTGTGATTAAATAGACATCAAGGAATACCAACCTACTCAGAGAAATTTGGTTGTGACTCAGCACTTTGGTACCTTCATGGCACGCAACGTATTTATTGATATGGAATATTTTAACTTTTGTAGTTTTCTACAAAACTCAACTTGTGTTCCTAGATAGGGAATGATAAAAACTATTTTCTGATTTGGACTTATAAGAACTTGAAAAAGGCAGTGAAATGGTTCCCAAGGTCATTGATTAGGAACCAACACTATAATACATGGTTTCCATCAAAAATATTAAAAACTCTCATTTTTTTTTTTTGCTTTTGAAGTATTGCTTATTACTACTTTCTGTGAATTTAGCTTCGAAGCCTGACAATTTATTTATTTTCAATGCTATATTCCATGTTTTTGGTCATATATTACAGGTTTTGCCCTCAGTCCATTTGTGGGATAATGACGTTGTTTCATTTCTCTCTCCACAGTAGACGCATAATTAACCTTGGCCCAGTAATGCTTATTTCTGAAGAACAACCAGCTCAACCTGCATTGCCAGTCCAACCAGAAGGTACAAGGGTCGTGTGTGGGCATTGTGGAAACACATTCCTGGTAAGTAACCGGACATTTGTCACAGTGACATCAATCTGTAACATGTAGGTCACGATCACATAGATTTGACCACCGCTCATGGTCTTGTAGTTTTATCCAAGTGCACTTAATCAGAAGATTTGTGGTTTCTAGATTCAAGAAAAATTCTTATTATAACTTATCAAAATTTTTTCTGCTTTTTAAAAAATTAAACTTGGAGTTAAAGGGAGTTAACTCTGGTGTCCATAATTAGATAAACTACTGGGGAAAAAATAAGAAGTTATAAGTAGTTATAGGAATTCTTGTTCAACTAACTTTTAACTCTAACCCTAAGTTTGATTTTTTTTAATACATTTTTTTCAATGTTTATTTACTTTTGAGAGAGAGAGAGAGAGAGAGAGACTGAGTGGGGGAAGGGCAGAGAGAGAGGGAGACACAGAACCTGAAGCAGGTTCCAGGCTCCGAGCTGTCAGCACAGAACTTGACACAGGACTTGAACCCACAAACTGTGAGATCATGACCTGAGTCGAAGTTGGACGCTTGACCGACTGAGCCACCCAGGCACCCCTAAGTTTGATTTTCAAAAGTTAAGTTCATAATGCCTTGCCCTGTCAGAAAGGTTTTCTTTTGTTATTCAGCCCTCATAGGAGACAAAAAAATTTTCTTTAGAACCTAAGTATTAATGAAAACTTCCAGAGTGTAAGCCTGGGCAGGGCTGAGGTCACAGTGGTCTTCCACTGCAGGATAATCTAAGGGACGAACAGGTTTAAGCAAGTGTAGATGATTTGCATTTTTTTCCTTCTAATTTTTATTTTTAGTAGAGTAATTCATGTGCATAATTTCAATGTTAAATGGGATTGTAAAGCTTATAAGGAAAATAGTGATCATCCCCAAATACCATCCTGCAAATACTTCCAGCATTTCCAGCTGCTGTGCTGGTATTATGTACATGTGTTTAAATTGTTTGTTTACCCTTTTTTCTTTTTGATTTTAGATATTACCTATTACCCTGTACAATGCAGGTTGAGGCTTTAGCACTCATAACATCCCTTCCCCCACTCATAGTCCTTTTCTCGATTCCATGCTCCAGCTAGAGTTTTAATATTTTTTTCAATTAATGCTTAATGTTTACATTTTTTATGATTAGGTAAATTATGTCCACAGCTTAGCCAAGCATTATATTATATTTTGGCACTGTATGACTTTTCAGATTTTTTTTGGATTTGTTAATAATTGTATATCCTCCTTTTGGGGCACCTGGCTGGCTCATTTGGTAGAGCATCTGACTCTTGATCTCAGAGTCATGAGTTTGAGCCCCACACTGGGTATAGAGATTACTTAAAAAAAAAAAAGAATAATTGTCTCTCCTCCTTTTGAATTTAATTTTCTATTACAAATCATTACTTATTCCCATATTATTTTACAGAACTATAAAATTCCTATCAATATAGTCAGACACATCAGGGAATCTATTATTGAGGCTTCTTGCTACACAGCTGCCATTGTGGGATTTCCCTTCATCATTATCCGAGGATTTCCTTTTTTCTTTTCCTGTATTGGATCTCATGCCTTCCTTACAGCTCTTGGTTTACTCCTTCATTTTGGTGAACTACATCCCCTCTTAGCTTTCTGAGAAAATATGCAAGGAAATAAATTAGAGACCTTCTACTTCTTAAACAGTTTTTAATCTGATCTCACATGTACTTTATAGTTTGTCCAGATGTAGAATTGTAGGTTGCTAATTGTTTCCTCTCAAAAATTTAAAAGGCTTTGCTCCACTATTAATGAAAAGTTCAACTACTGCCCTAATTCCGTGTCCTTTCTATTTTTTCTCTTTATTTGCCTCTTTCTTCTTTCATTTTCTCCAGTGCTCTGAAATTGCATTGGAATATGTCTTAGGATGGAAAAAGAAGATGTGATACAGATACATACATACATACATACATACATACATACACACTGGAATATTACGCAGCCTTTAGAAAGGATGAGATCTTACCATTTGTGACAACATGAATGGACCTAGAGGGTATTATGCTAAGTGAAAGAAGTCAGACTTAGAAAGACAAATACCATATAATTCCACTTATATGTGGAATCTAATGAACAAACAAAAAGTGTAGATCCATAAATATAAACACAGAGAACATACTGATGGTTGCCAGTGTAAGGGAGTGAGTGTTTGAAGGATAGTGGGAGGTACAGGCTTCCAGTTATGGAATGAGTAAGTCATGGAATAAAAGGACCAGCATAGGGAACGCAGCCAATGATATTATAATAGTGTTGTATGATGACAGATGGTAGTTACACCTGTGGTGAGCATACCATAATATAAAGACTAGTTGAATCACTGTGTTGTTCACTCGAGAGACGTAACACTGTGTGTCAACTATACTCAAGTTAAAAAACATTTATAAAAAGAATGTGTCTTAGGGAGGGTATGTTTGAATTCATTGTCTGGGTACTCAGTGGGCCCTCTTATGGTCTAGACTATTTTCTTTTCTTTGTTCCCACTTTCTAGAACTCTTTAGATCACCTGAATTATTGACTCTTTTTTTCTTTTTCTTACATTTTCTTTGAAGGTTTGGCTTTTTCTTTTACTTACTGGAACACTTTCCTGATTATATCTTCCAAACTTAATTCAAAATTTTAATTTCAGATTTTCTAACTTAATTTTTAATCTCAAAGACTTTTCCTGTGTTCTCTGGTTAGTTTTTCCTTTTGCTAAAGAGCATTCTCTTCTCTATGGCATCTTTCTGAAACTATTAGTTCTATTTTTGTGTGAAGTATTTTTCTTCCTTATGCCTTGTCTCTGTTTTCTCCCCACCTTTTTTTTTTTTTTTTTTTTTTTGTGGTAGAGATTTTACAGAAAAGTTCATTTCTATTTGAGGGTCAGTCACTGATTGGAACCTCTATTCATGCAGCAGAGTTAAGATCTTTCTCCTTTCCTTCCTTCCTTCCCTCCTTCTTTCCTTCCTTTCTTCTTTCCCTCCTTCCCTCCTTCCCTCCTTCCTCCTTCTTCTGCATCTTCCTCTTCTTTTTCTTCTCCCTCTCCCATTTTTTTGAACAACTGTCAACTCTTAATATCAAGAAGTCTTCTTGGAGGGCAAGTTTCTCTGGGGAAAAATCCTGCAGTTTCTTGTGAGTGATATGCCTGGGAGGCAGCATTTAGGAGTTAAAGGTAATGAGATGAAGGTCTCATCCACTGTTCAAACCGTGGACTTTAACTTGATTCCTTTCTTTTATTCTTGCCTTCTGCTATGGCGGGTGTTTCTAAGTTCACAAGCTCTCTTGTCCAGTTTCTTTTCAGAATAAATCACTCTTTTCTTGCATGTACCGGGAAGAGAGGGGTTTCCAGTTTTGCGGAGGGTAGGGAAGCATTTACAGGGGATACTGCTAGGAGCCCCACCTCGGAAAACACGTGGTAGCCCCAATACCTGAAAAAGCTTGCTTTCCTTTGGCACATCTCTCTGCAGACAGGCAAGTTTCAGCCCCCCTTTCACTAAGCCAGCTCCAGGCTCCATGAGCGTTCCGTTGTTCAGAGATTTGGGGCCATCTCTCCTCGTTACCCTTATGGTATTATACTTTTTTTTTTAAATTTTTTTTCAACGTTTATTTATTTTTGGGACAGAGAGAGACAGAGCATGAACGGGCGAGGGGCAGAGAGAGAGGGAGACACAGAATGGGAAACAGGCTCCAGGCTCCGAGCCATCAGCCCAGAGCCCGACGCGGGGCTCGAACTCACGGGCCGCGAGATCGTGACCTGGCTGAAGTCGGACGCTTAACCGACTGCGCCACCCAGGCGCCCCGGTATTATACTTTTTAAAATTCATTTACCCCTATTTCAGTCAAGTTTAGGAAAAGAAATGGAAATGCATGCATCTATCTGATTTAATTCACTTAATCAGAATTTCTAGGATACTTCTGATCTTGTAAGGAGAAGACAAATCTTCTTCCTTATATTTTATTCATTAAATCGGTGACTAAGTTGCTTAATTAGAAGATATAGCTGGTGGGAGTAGTTAAAATATTTCTTTTTGAAAATTACTACATAGGGTAATACACGCTGTAGGTATTGATAGATATTGAGTGATTTGACTAAGTTAAATACATATTAAATATATTTATTATTTTCTTTCTTACATGTGAACAAATTATATTTTGAAATACCATTTAAAGATCTTCAAAACAGATTTCTTTTCAACTTGTTCAGTCAATTCCCCTCCATAATTAGCTTACATTTGCATTTGCTCAGCTAAATTTTATTCTTTAAATCCTTGCCACAGATAATCTTTAGAGCCACATTGTAAGTGAGCTGATTTCATTTGTTCAAATACAATTACTGAGTTCACGCCAGGCACTGGACTGCATAATGAAGGAACAGGAAGACACATTCCTTGCCCTCATGCAGTTTTATAATCTAATTGGAGAAGAAAGACAATTAAAATAAGAATTATATGAAATATGTTTAGGGTGTTTAGGCTAGAGTAGGAAATAACAGAGGGTTCTTCGCGCACCCACAGAAGTACCCAGCCTAGAGGGAGCGAGTGACATTATGCTCAGAGTAATGAAAGCTTCAGTAGAGCTTTATAATTAATTCTGTGTGTAGGGATGCTATGTATAAAACGGAACATGGATTGCATGGAGGGAAAGGCTGAAGAGGGGCAAGACTAGATGTTTGACTTTTATTATTCAAAAAAAGTGATGATGATGGTTGGGGAATAGCGTGAAGATTTTGAGAGAGAATTAATGTGCTGATAATAGAGTAGATAAGGGAATGAGGAAAAAAGGAAATCAAAGACAACTCTTAGAAAGGTCATATTTAATTTTTTGAAATTACCTGGTATGAATCCAAGAGAGTGATCCAAATTGAGAGGTTAAAACACATGTAGGTGACATGATTTTTAATACTTTAAAAAGTACTTTATGCATTTAGATATTTTCACACTAGAAGAAAACTACTAAAGTAATGAACAATTCAGAGACAAACTTCTAAAACTAGCTCTTTTTTATTTAATATT